TTATTAAGAATAAACATAAATAATTCATTTTCTAATATTTTTCTTATATTGATCTTACGCGAATCGAAAATATATATATATATATATATATATATGTATATTAAAATAATAATAAAAATAATATTAATAATAATAATAATAATAATAATAATAATATACCAAGCTTTTTAAAATATAATATCAACGAAAACAAAATAGCAATTAAAAGAAATCCTTGTGGATTAAATCAAATTGTATCTTTTTCTTTCCCACGTACTCATTGACACTTTCTGTTCTTTCATTAATTATTCCTTCCTCTCTTTCTCTCTCTCTCTCTGTCTTTCATAACGTTTTATTGACTTCCGATTGTATGCTTGTGCTACGTCAAACTCGTGAATGGGACTGGAACGTAAGTGAATAGTTAGAAACGATCAGAGATCCCTTCAATAACGAGTTGAAACTTTTGGAAAAGCATCGTGAAGCCTCGTTTCCTTTGGAAAGAGAATCTTCTAATAGGTCTATTATATTAGAAGGAGAAAAGCTACGAATGTTTTCTACGTTCGATTGATCACGAGAGAAAATCAGAGAAGAGAACTTTAATATTCACAATGAAAAACGTTTGTAAACGTCTCACAGTTTCTCTTACTTATAATATTTTCCAACGTGAAATATATTTTCGTTCATTTTACTAATTTCCACATTTGTTTTTTCTTTTTGAATTTTTTTATGTTCGGATTCCTCATTTTACGACTTTTATTTAATCTAATTTTGTGACTATACCAGTAAATGATCAATGTCCTACCGAGTATATCTAAATTTGCTTTCATATTTATAAAGAAATCGGTTTGAAGAAACTGATTTAGTATTCAACTCACAAATAAATTTATTATACCTCCAACCACACCAACGAAATTGCATAATTAACTTCTTCAAATATTCTTCAAAGTATTCTTCTTTATTTAAGCATTATCAAATCATCTACCGTTGAATATATACTATATAGCATCGAAAATTTAATCCGTCTGATCGATTCTTTTTTTTTCTTTTCAAATATAACTGAAGAAATAACATTAAAAAAAGAAAAAAAAGAGAAATAAGAATAAGATACTTCCCACTTTGAAATAAAAGGGAAACACTTTTCTTTCAACACGAAACACGAGTCGTAACTTTGTTTCCAAAGGAAATGAGTAAATTGCATCATCTTTATTCCTATTGCCTTTCCAACTTGTAAAAGTAATGCCATATACACGGTGTCTTTCAGTTAATCTCCAATAATACTTTTTATTTAATATATCTAACAATATTTTCATAAAAATTTGTTTCTAAGCCACCCTTTTTAAACCGGAACCCCTAGAAAATTTCCAAGCAACCGATATTTTTAATTTAAAAAAATCGATGTAGTATAATTTAACATAATATTACACTTTTTACAAAAAACTATGATAATAAGAATATATTAATTTATTGAAGATACAATATCAGGGATCCAGCAGACCTTAACGCAACCCTAAAATTTTGGAGAATTTCTTTCTTACACCTAGTAACAAAATAAAACAAAAATATTTCTTGAATATCTATTAGATTAAATTGTAACACCGTATATATTGTATCTCTCTCTCTCTCTCGCATCTTTTTCCATTCTTATCTTTTGTCTCTTTCTTTCTTTCTTTCTTTCTTTCTTTCGTTTCTTTTCTTTTTCTTTCTCTCTTACTCTTTTATGTATATATGTATAGTGTATTCGGTTTCTGCAAAAGCTCGTTCGTGCAACAGGAAGAACGATGCTGAATTTCAAATTAGTCGATTTCACCCCCTACTTCTTCCTTCGAATTTCCCCCACACACCCCACCGGTGTTCTCGTTACGATTATCCTGACGTATGTTTGTTATTCGTTCATGTACAGGGTGTCTTGAAAAAACAAATTGACCAAACGAAAGTGAATAAGAAAAATTATTTTCGCGATCGTTAGTAATGTTCTTTCTCATCTCGAAATTGATCGTTTTTTAATCGAAAGAAAAACGAGCTCAAAGAGAAATAACACTCTCATTTATATTCTGAGAATGTTCATCATAGTCGCGCGTGCGCGACTTTATTCTTGCGTGTTCAAAGAAATAACATAATATTCTCTTTTTCTCTCTCTCTCTCTCCGACTTATGTAAGAAAGTAAACGTTACAGAGAATTTCCCATTAGGTAACACCACTACTCTCTCTCTCTCCTCTCTGTAATAGTG